TATCTTCTGTAATGCTTGTTTAGTGCTGGTGGATTGCTTTCATTTGTGCTTATCTTGGAAAATATTTTCCATTAATTTTAAGCAATATTTGTTAGATAAAATATAATCTATTTTGACAGTTATTTGCTTTCATGACCTGAAATAAATCATTACATGTGTTTCTGCTTGTTAAGCTTGTTTAAGTTTTATTTATTATTGTTGTGTGCGTGTACATAGTGGGAGGGTGCATTTCTTGGTGCACATGTGGAGATCAGAGACTGCTCTGTAGAGTCGGGTCTTTCCTTCCACATTTATGTGAGTTCCAAGGATTAAACTCAGGTCACCCGCCAGCACCTTTACCCACTGAGTCACTTCACTTAGTTTTTAAGTTTTCTGTTAAGAGGCATAATGTTCTTCTGATGTGTTTGACAGTAATGAGATTTTCTCTGGCTGCTTTGTTTCCTTTTTTCTAGCTCCAAATGGTATGTCTCAGACAGGTTCTTTTCTGGCCATATCTATTAGGGGTTCTAAATTGCTCTTGTAGTTATTCATCCCTATCTTTCCCTGCGTTTGGAAATTCTCCTGTTATAATTGCATTAACTGAGTAGTTTTCCTTTTACTTTAGTTCTTCTGTGTTGACCAGTGGTATCTCAGCAGCTGTTAGTCTCACTATCTAGTGATGTCAGTTCTCAAGTCATCCGAGCAGGTGTGAAGTAGAGAGAACCTGTAACCAAACTGCATTATAGCCTACTTATGGTACTCTGTAGGGTTTTTTTTTAATAGATCTTAATTTTTTAAAAAAAAAGTGAATAGATTAAAAGAGATGTCAATCTCCTTTGAAAACTAATTTATGTAGATTTTTGTGTTAGTTACTTTGCTATTACTGTGATGAAACGCCATGGCAAAGTATAAAAGGAAATCTTCATTTGGGTTGTGATTCCAGATTCTAAATGGCAGGAAACCGTGGTTGCAGCGGTCATAGTGACAGGAACAGTTGAGTGCTCATTTCTTGAACCTGAAGCAGGAAATACAGAGAGCAAACAGAGAGTAGTGTGAGACTTTGAAATCTCAAAGCCTGCCCCAGTGATATAGTTCCTCCAGAAAGACTGCATGTACTAAACCTTCCAAATAGTTCGTTGATTAAGTACCAAGTATTCAAACATCTGAGTGTATGGGGGGAGGGGGCATTCTCACTAAAACCACCACAATATTCTATACTCAATTACTGGCAATATAACTGTCAACTAATTAAGTGTGGACAGTACATGGATTTAGAAACGAAACAGGACAAAAGAACTCTCCAGTGAGGAAACCTGGTAGACGCTGTCTCCACCAGACAGTCAAGGTCAACATCAACAAGGACAGGTGATGTGAGCACTGCAGACCCCGAGGTGGGGGCATGTAAGCAGTGCTGTGCTCCTGTATTCCTCTCACAAGCCAAAACCCTTTGTTTATTTTTGAGAAAAAAAACAATCTAAAACATACTAGAAGAACATTCTGGAAAATAGATGATCAGTATTTCTCAAAACTGTTAAGGTCATCAAAAACAAGTCTGAGAAAGTGTCAAAGCTAATACAGCCAAATGTTATGTGACATCCTGGGTTTGCTTCTGAAACTGAAAGAGTACATTGTGTAAAAGCGAAGGAAAACTGAGTGTAGTGTGGGTTTTAATTAATAATGGGTCGACATTAGTTCATTAACTAAAACAATATATCATTGTGTTAGGTGGAGAAATAGGAATGGGAAGAACCTGGGAGGAGTTGAGGAGAAGGAAAAGCATGATCAGAGGAAATTGTCTAATTTTTTCCCAAAGATAAAATGCACTATAGAAATTATCTATACTGTTATCAAAACCCTATTGAAACATAATTATTTTAAAAAATCGAAATAGGGACTGGAGAGGTGACTCGGTGCTTAGGAACACTTGCTGATCTGTGGCGGGCCAGCATTTGGTTCTCACTATGTCCATGGGGGGGGGCTTGAGTTCCATGGGATCTGTCACCCACTTGTGGCCTCTGAACATCTGCACACACACAGTGCACATACATATACTGAGGCCAACATGCATGTATACAGAATGAAAATCAATCAAAATATTTAAAAATAGCACAAGAAAGTGTTCATGAACTTCTGTTCATGCTAATATTGAAGTATTTTATCATGTTAAATACTGATGATTATAAAATAATTGATATGGTTTCATCGTATAGGTGAAAGTTGAAATGTAAGTGAGGTGAATTTTATTTATTTATTTTGGAGGCTTTGGTGTATTTTTTAAATACCTAATAAAGGCAGTGGAGTTCTGGGTACATAAGTTATATTGTTCTAACTGCAGACACAAGTGGATAGAACAACCCAAAACTTTCAAGGCCACAGACTTGGTCACCAATTTCTATGCAAGACTCTTAAAGCCCTTCTAATTTTACTTTTCCTAAATTCTCACTCAGCTACCTATCTTCGGTATTCCTTTTTCACTTTCATTTGATACGTCTTTAAATTTGTAGATCCCTTTCTCATCCAATATATCCTGATTATAGTTTCCCCTCCCTCCACTCCTTCCAGTTCCTTCCCACCTTGACTCTCCCCCAGATCCACTCCCTTCTCGTCTCTCGTTGAAGAACAGACTTCTAAAAGATAACAACCAAAGATGACAAAATAAAATAAAAGATGAAGCAAGAACAATTGTATCTAGGTTGGAGTTAAGTGGATTTCTAAATCAAAGCCTCGGCCATTGGGGAAGAAGTATTCTAATTTAAAACAACTAACTCCATCACCGATGGAGCAGATTCATACTTACGTAGCATCTTAACAGGCTTTGTTCGCATGAAGAACGTTTGGTGGGCACGTTTCCAAAGCCGGCAGTTAGTGAGCAAACAGGCTGGAATGGGATAAAGAGGAAATTCATGCCTGCCAACAGATAAATGTATTTCTAAAGCAGACTAAATATTACGGTTTGAAATAAAGGCCGAAGAAATTCAACAAGTTCTGTTAGTGAACCGTTAACCGACGCTGCTCTCGCAGTCTTCACTCTTGAAATTCTTCCAGGCAAGGTGAATATAACCAGCTGCTTAAAATCCACTTGGCAGTAACGCATATGCTATCTAATATATAAACCCTGTTAAGAGCCAGAAGAATTCAGTAAATTACAAGGAGGGTAGGAGATTGAAGAAAGTGCCCGAGATGATCATTTTGTTTCACTCTACTCTCGCTTTAGCATTGACCATTTCTTTGACCAAAACCTGTAATTCTCACAGACATCTCAACTCATAGGAAGGACTGTTCCTAGAATGTGGGGATTGGGAACCAGGAAACAATAGAATTATTTTCAGTGCTTCAATCTGCCATTCAGTGTACATTCAATGTTCTATGACCATGAGGACAAGAACACCACAGTTTACTTTTTTTTTCTCCTCTAAATAATGTCCTCGTACTATGCTTAGCTCTCACACTTAGGAGTCACTTGGTAGGCCATGTCCACTTCTGTATTCAGCAGTTGAGTAGTGTGCCAGTGTTTCCATTTTTCAGCTTTTTAATGTCAGTTATATTATCAGAATAACAATATAATACATACATATGATAAAATTGCATAATCAAGAAATGAATGCAAAGAAAATTTGTAAAGTACTATTTAAAGCAGAGTTTCCAGGTGAAACTGCTGTCGAAATACATGTTAGAACCAGGCAACAGTGTATCCTGGTTCTCCTTCAAGGGCCTCCTGAGTGCTAGGATTCTAGGAGGTGTGACCCTGTTGGAGGGGGTGTGTCACAAGAGGATGGACTTTGACGTTTCAAAAACCCATACCATTCCCAGTTAGCTCTCTGGTTCTTCCATGTTTCCATGGAAGCTCTTCCATGTTTCACAATGTGAGTCTCAGCTACCGCTCCAGAGCACGTCTGCATGCCTGCCTGCCTGTCGCCATGTTCCTCACTGTGACAGACATGGGCTCAACCTCTGAAATTGTCAGCCTCCAATAAACCCTTTCTTCTATGAGTTCCCTTGGTTCTGGTATCTCCTGATAGCAGTTGAAAAATAACTAAGACAGCATGTCAAAGCAACTGAAAGGGAATAAAGAGTTAGCAACATGAAAATGATGTCAGATTTTCTCATACATGTCTAAATGTTTTTTTTTTTTTTTCAAATTATTCTAGTGCACCAATCTACTAAACTTGAAAAGTACGGAAGGCTATAATGGCAGTCAGAGGCAGCAGAGGGCCTCGTCTCACAGACGTGTCAGAATCAGGGCCATAGCATATTTCAGCAGTTGAAGGACATTGTGAATTCATGGTCTCTATTGGGTTGATTTCTACAAGCATGAGTTTTCTGTATGGCTCTGTATTTATTCTCCATGTTGCTTTCTCTTCTGGTTGTTGTTGATTTTGCTGCTCAGGAAACATAATGTTGGCGATCTCTGTTCTGCTACTTCGTTGAGGACCTGTCACACGGGGCATGTCTTTGGCCCCTTTCTATGTCACTTATCACAGTTATTGATACACCTAATTTAAGATTTAAAATGCCACTTACCATTGGCCAAAGAAGTATGTGGTTTTTGTTTCTTTCTATATTCGCTTACTTAAAATGTTCTGGAGAGAAAAGAACAGAAAACCATGTTTATACTCTTATTAAAAATAAGATTATTGCTTTATTTCAACCAAGGCTAGTCACTTAATATTATGCATCTCAAGTATGTTTGATATAGAAAGACAATATAAAAAAGACATGTTACACCCTCAGATGGTGAAATTGTTTTGGAAACATAGCAATAAGTGAAATATTTTACCACTGTATTTTGAATTTGGAAAACTCAAGACAGTGTTATTTATGAAATGGTGAGTAGCATCCATTCAGTAGATTTGAATGCCAGATTTTGTTATAATCACTTGCTTAAAGACAGTTCGCATGTCAGATATACCATAAATCGATGGAGTACTTGTTTCACTTTAGGTTATGTTATGTTGTAGGAACTTTTTACATTATTTAACTGTAACCATTGGTAAATCTATTGTTACTGTTTTTATTCAAAGATCTCAGAAGAAATTATAATGGACTACTATGAGAAATATAGGCCTAGAATGAATGAGCTGGAGGCATTTAATATGGTAAGTCATGTACATATATACAGTAGTATCTTATTAATTATTATGGGCCAATTAATCTATTGTTGTTGCTGTTGTATGTATAAGAAAGAAAGAGAGTGTGTATCTGCATGTGTGCGTGCGTGCGTGCGTGTGTTTGTAGGAAAACTATTTGGGATGATTTCCTATTTCTGAACTATATTAGGTGTTAGTAATGTCATAAAAAGAGCACATGGTAGATTTCCCTTAAAGAGCATCATAAATGCACAGAGCGGGGCCTCAGAGCCTTTGAACACATGTTGATCTCCAGAGTGCTTATTTCACAAGCTTTCCATGTAATGAATTGCATTCTTAGGACTCTTAAAAGCTTTCAATCACATGATTGCTTCCTGGATTCCACCTTGTGTCTCGTAGAGGGCTTTCTTTCCCTGTAAAGAAAAGCTTTTAATCTGTAGTATTCATTTTCTGAAGATGAACAGTAGGTATTGGGTATCTGACATGTGGAGTTTTGTAGATACCGTTTCTCAAACATAAACATTAAAGCAAATAAACTATTAAATTGTCATTACCTCTTGTTTTCTTACAGTTGAAAGTTGTTCTGGCTCCTTGCATAGAAACACTGATTCTTCTTGATCGACTTTGTTACCTGAAGGAACAGGTATTATGTTATTTTTCAGTGCATAACAAATATCTTTATTAGGTGAAATAAAATGAATAAAATCATATAGCTGGGATAAAGTTATTTCACACAAAGTAGTAAGATAATGTCTCTCATATTCCATTACTTTTAATGTCCATTCTATTTCCTGATTAATATATAAACATATATACAGCAGATATCTTCAAAAAATTGCTGTAATAAGTGTGATATTTTTAATTGTGTGATAGTATTTATAGACAGTGAATAAAGGTAATCATATATGATTTTTAGAGCCAAAATTAATTATGGCATAAAAGAGACTGTGTACACATTTCACTTTGTAAGACCTGATCTTTTAATGTGCTTTGAATATGTATATTCTATAATATAGAAATGTCTTTCTACTCAGTGAGAGTATTTCGTCTCTCCCACAACCTTATCATTTTATACATTGTCTGCTGAGCTGTGGTCAATAAATTGTTTTGAATTGTTTAATCCCCTTCCTAGAATCAACTCTTTGTCCACTATAAATCCCTTATTTAACAAATTTATTTAGTCATCTAGTGCTTTTTCTTTTCAAAAAGCTTCTTTAAACAAATGAGTTTTAATGTCTTTATTTTAATTAATGATTTTACAGATTAAGGAAATTTTTAAGTATTTAAATAATATACATTCTTTAGCCACCATTTAATTCCAAATCCCTACAAAGCATTGATCCTCAAATTGGGCGGTGATACACTACCTATTTGAATAGGTACTCATTTTCCCTCACAAAAAAAAATTTCATTGGCCTAAGCAGTTCAGTAAAATAGCATGCATCAAAATGAATAGGTCCAAAAGAAATGATCCAAGCATATAATTATTCATTTTAAGTATTGGAATGTCTTAGGAAAGTAGTCATATTTGTTAAAAATATAAGATATATACCAGGTGGTGATAGCGTACACATTTAATCCCAGCACTCAGGATGTGAGTTCAAGGCTAGTCTGGACTACAGAGCAAGTTCTAGGACTGTTATACAAAGAAAGCCTGTCTCAAGAAAAACAAACAAACAAACAAAAGATATATAATATAAAAGAGAAAATTAAAAGAAGTAATAATCCCACCTTTCAGACTGGGCACATCTTATAATAATGTCACACATGATTATAGATTGTGCATGTGTGTGCATATTATTTTTACTTTAAAACTATAATAAAATTTACAGTGTAATTTTATTTATATATCATTTTCTGCCTCTTTGTACAAGGTGAATAATGTTTTGTCATAAAATTGTTTAAAATACAACATTTGTCATTGGCCTTGTCCAGCTTTTCTGTATTGGAACCAGGACTCCTTTGGCAGTCAGTCGCTAAAGGTGTATATTTTTTTCAACATGGCTTCTTGAAAATAAAATTGTAAATGTTAATTTTCATTCAATAAAAAATGATAGCCTTTGGTTTCTACTAATATTTTCTACTGCAATTTGTGGTCCAATTCATCTATGTAGTCAGACTCATCTTTCTTTTATTTGCTCTAAAATGATTGTATATGTAAATTGTTTATCAATTTTCAGGAAGATGTAGCATGGTCTGCTCTTGTGAAGTTGTTCGACCCTGTGCAGTCCCCCAGATGCTACGCTGTCATTGCTCTGAAGAAGCAGCGGTAATTGTAGCTGAAGCAGGTTGCTAGTCAGTTCTTTGGGGACTTACCTTGAAGATTGCTTTTCTAAACATTTATATCTCATTATATAAACATTTTAAAATATTTGCTATATTTTAAGTAATAAAATAATGACTAAAAACATAAGATCATAGTTAATTTTTCTATTCTCAAAGCATTAATAAAATAAGAACTTATGAAAATATTCTGATCAACATTCCTGGGTGTGTCAATAGCAGATGGTAATCTGACTTTAATTCTTGTGCAGTATTTGGGACCCTTGTCATTTACCACATCTCACATTTTGACCTTTCTTTGCCTAAGAGGTCAAATGCAGGTGTTGTCAAATGCTGAGTGTTATATGTATTTTTCAGAGCATTTTGGGATAGTTTCCACTTTGCCATAATGGGGAGATATACATTTAAAAAGACTCACGAGCAGGTTGGTTATAAAACATGCCTGATATAAAGCATATTTTACACTGTTTTAACATAAAGTACATGTGGCGATATTCTATTTCCATATGAAAATATGCAGCTTATGAATAAGTATTCACTTTAAGGATTCTTGAGGCTATTTATCCTACTAAAATGAAGTGATAGGGTGAAGCTTAGGGTAATTACATTGTGCTCTATAAAAAGCCACCTTGAGTGAAGCCAGACTGAATGGGAGATGCCTCCCTGCCAAGCAGAATTTATTTCTGTGAGTTCAGAATATAAGTGTGTGCCTCATATTCTGAACACTTGGGACCTGACATGTTCCTGTTCTCTTCTCTCATATTTTTGGATTTTTGGTGTATGCATCTGCAATATCTTTTGGATAGGACCCAAGTATAAACTTGAAACTCATTTGTGATTCATATACATTTTTGCACAGCCTGAGAATAAGTTTCCCTTTCTTTAGCAAAACACAGAGTTTCTCATGCACACTAAAGCCTGGAAGCTGGGGTAAAGCTTCCTCGATGTTCAGCTGGAGAGGCCTTGCAGACTCTAGAGAAGAAAAGTAACTGCTGTTGTAAATGCTTGAGCTTTTCCCCAGATGAGAAGGGTTCTGTTTCTTTGGGGTTTCATGTGGTGTTTGCAGCTGATACAAATGATCAGGAGCTGTACACAGCTTAGTACCTTCCTAGTGAGCTGCTTTACACTACTTTTTGATGAGAATTCAGATGTGTGGAAGTGTCAGGTCAATTTTGAGGAATCCCTTGTACTAGTCTCATACTTTAATGATTAATGATCAGTATTTTATCCATTTTACTTCACCTTTATGAATGTACAAATACACATACCTCCACTAAAACATCCTCTGCTAATGAATTGTAAAGAAAATCCCAGAGAGCTTATGGTTTTTCATATTTAATTTATTTAATTAATTATATTCCTATATATTTAGTATATTTCTAGAACCTAGGAATCTTTCTATAATAACATCTGTAGGTGTTCTCGTTCACATATCTTTGATTTGTTAAGGAAGCCTTTATATCAGTTCAATTTAACCTTGATTAAGTTCAGGTTATTGTTTGCAGGTTTGAGATTTTTGTTTTTATTGTATCTTTTTTATGTACTTGTGTTCAGGGGATGGGACTTGGTAAGGCATGTCTGCCACAGCAACATGTGGAGGTCACAGGACAACTTGTGAAAATCAGTTCTGCCCTCTCCCATGTGAATTCCAAGAATCAAACTCAAGCCACTAGTCGACAGTGAGTGCCTGTACCCTCTGAAGCATCCCACTGGCTTTTGTTTATTTGCCTGCTTGTTTTGTTTTCTTAATAGTGGTTAGGGACATGATTTTTAGGGCCTCGCACCTTCTTTGGCTGTCTCCATGATAGTGCTAATAGGATCGATGAGCTCCTCACAGCTGTGAGCCTAATTAACCAGTACAAACTTCCTCCTTCAACCTTCTTCTTAGAGGGGTGGTTGTGCCATATGGTCATCCCTGAAAACATACGTACAAGTAATATATAGGCTGAATAGGTTATATTTAGGAATGTGTGTGTGCGTGTATGCATATGAATGCCTGCAATAACAATTAACAACAACAACAAAAAGAAGCCATGAATTTGAAAGAGTGGAGCAAGTATATGAGAAGGTTTGGAGAAAAGAAAGGAAACAGAGAAATGCTTTAATTATGTTCTCAAAAATAAAAATAACTAATAAAGAGAAATGCATATGTGCATACAGTGAATTCATTTGCCATATTCAAATTGACTGGGTGAGAATACTCCTGGTTTTAATTTAACAGCTTATTTCATTGTGCTAAAGTACCTTTTTGTATAACTACTATCTTTTTATTTCCTCACATTGTTTGCAATTTGTAACTATCTCAGAAGGAATAGAAAATCCAGCTAGCCTTTTCTCTTTCCTTTTGTAATTTTACTTCTATAAAAGTTTAACAACCTTCTTTGGCAACCGAATATTCATTTAACATTCATTTCTCACTATAATACAAAGACCTCCTGTGGGAAAAGCACTGTTTGCATAAAAACACGAAGTACAGCTATTTCCCTAGCATTTGAAGTGTGCAGGAACTCACCTACATGTGAAGATCTTAGCAGAACTCGCATCTGTCGGCTCGGACATGGAGTAACGTGAGACAGTATACGCGATCGCATTATATTGAGATAAATCCCCGATACTGCAGCTTTACATCCACTAGTCCATGTTACAGCGATGCAGATGCCCACCGCATAGAAACTGTCCTTTCAGAGTGAGTTTACAGTTCACTGGAGACACGATGCATTGCTCTGAGCAACATTCTCATGATCACCTCCTGGATGATCTAAAACAAAAGCCCGAAGAGCTCCAGCCTCATTTATATTAAATGTGGTCTCATTTCATGCCCACTTTGCCAATGCTTAGTGAATGTCTATCATGTTACAGTGATAGACTCTTTGAGTTATTTTCAAGTGAATACACAAGACTTTGAAAGGGACTCAAAAATAACCAATTGAGACCTGACATGTTCCATGTTCTCTTCTCTCATATTTTTTGGATTATTGGTGTATACATCTGCAATATCTTTTGGATAGGATTCAAGTATAAACCTAAAACTCATTTGTGAATCATAGGCCTTTTTACCCAGCTTGAGAATAAATTTTTCTCAATTTTTTAATAATTTTGTGCATAATATACTTATTTGGGATGGAATTTTTTTATGTATGACCAGTATGACATTTCTCTGTATGACTGAAAATATTCTGAATTTTGGGTCATTTCAGTTTTTGACTTTTCTAGTTAGGAATGCTTAACCAGAAGCACCATAATTTAGAATCAGATAAGTTCAATTATGTAAGTCAAAATGATTTAAATTGTGTAAGTAACTCAATGCTTCAGTGTACCTTAGTGTTCTCATCTCTTAATTCTTTTCTCATAATGTGGTTGATAAGATTTTTTATTATTTGTCCTGTCAAAAAGCCGCGTTAGAAACTTCAACCCCATGAAGGCAAATGGAGCCTTTGGAAAGCACTTAGGTCCTGAACGCTCCACTGTTAGAAATGAGCTTATGGGTGTGCTCAGTCTTTGTCTTTCTGGTTCTCATCCTGGAAGGCACATTGAAGAGACCCATACCAGCATCCAGCATCGTAATGGACTGTCCAGCTTCCACAACTGTAGAAGAATGAATTTGTATTGTCTATGAGTAACCCAGTCTCAGGTATATCTATCACAACATCTAACAAGTGAAAACAGATGTTATGAGAATTGTACTAATACGTGTTCCTGAACTCCAAGACAGCATGGTAGCAACGCAGGCTTGACAGTCTTGTTAGTGTTGTTGAAGGGCAATATCAGGAGGATATTTATGGTATCTGAGTGTCTGTCCTCAATTGTGAAGAAGACACCAGGCTTTGTAAAGGTCTGGACATCATTGTCCAAGATAAATAGATATTGCCCTGCAAGGGACTTGAAAAAAGTCTTGATAAGTAAGCTTGCTTGATAAGTGAGCGCTTTACCAAGGTAAGACGATTGCTTCTCTGAGATAAGTTAACAGATTGGAATTTCCTGAAACAAACAATGAGGTTATTTATTGCTTTCCAGCCTTATCTTTCCCAGGCAAAGTTTTCCTCTAACAAACAAATAAATCATGGTGACGCAGGTGGTTTCAGTTCTTAGACCCAAGAGTTCCATCACACTGATGCAGGTGGTGCAATTCCAAGTGTAAAGCACTTATTTCCTGGCCCTGACTGCATGGTATTTAATACTTGTGTTAGTTAAGTGTCCTAGAGGGACAGAAATAGGAACTTACTCATGTTTATAGCATTGATTTAATAGGGAAAAGTGTGTTCTAAATTCTAGTCAAACAACCTGCAAATAAAGTTATCTACATTAAAAGGTGGAATATTATCAAAAGAAAGACAAAGTTTTATAGCATTTTTGCTGGCTGAGATAATTGTCTTTTAATTAATAATCATTTGGAGGAGGACTAGGGAATTAAACTCAGGGCCTTAAATGTACTATACCAGGTGCTGTATCATTGAGCTATATTCCCCAGGTTAATATTCATTTTATGTTAATTTCTGGCCTTTATGTTCTGTAATTTCTGTCTCAGCATTTATATATAGGCATAAATAGAGGCTTAGCACAAAAAAACTTAGTTCCATATTGTATGTATGGATAGATTGTTCTTTGGTTTGTAGTTCTCGCCTGAGCACAGATGGTGGTGGTGGTGATGTACTTATACCCTTTTAAGCCTGCATATTAACCCATCATGTCTTTCATGAGGCGTGAAGTTTCATGTTTTCCTAAAGGGCTGTGAGTTTAAATTGATTATTCTTGGGGTTTTCTTTTTCTCAAATTTTTGTTATTCTCTCTTTTTTTGAGTTTCTTACATTTTTTCAACATGTAAGAAAATTTATTGTATAAATTCTTCCCAACTTTAGCTCATTGCTTTAAAATCACCTGAGAATATTGGAGACAGAGAAGGAGTGGGAGGGGAGGGAGTAGATGGGAAACGAGAGAGTGTTCAGAGAAAAGGAGGGAGAAGAAACTGCGGTCAGTATGTAAAATAAATGAAAAAATTATTTAAATAAAATTCAAAATGGGAAGAGAACTGAAATAGAAATTGTTGCCATATATTATTTTTAAATGTCTATGGCCAAGAGATGTGCTCTTCCAAAAACCCAAGCCAGTGTCTAGACTAAGTTCGCTACAGCGGATTCTGTCTCTAGTATTGGAGGAGATTGGAATAGATAAGAACACGTGTGAGATGCCTAGACTAAGTCTAAGTATAACATCTAAAAATAAACTCTGGCACCAGTCTGTCATGCTGTCACATTGGATTACATTACCCAAAAGTCACTAGTATTTATTACCCAGAAACAAGTACAAGGCCTAAAGCACAACCTGTTCACAATGACAGTTTGCCAAACGAATGTATCATCTGCTTCAGTCACTTCCTAAATATGCTATAGGAAGTAGTGTTTGATGGTGTCACAATACCAGCAAATGAGCTTTGTTTAGACATTGCCAGAACATTATATATATATTAGCTCTGGTTCCCTGGAAAGTTCCTAAGATAGGTATGTCATTATGACTGTATATAGATGAGAATGGATAGAATTAGTTCTCATCAAATACATCATTCTGGTTTACATTCAACCTATAAACAATTTTGCAAATAACCATCTGCCAGCCAGCAAAAGAAACAACATATAGACAGACTAAACAATTAAAATCTGGAACACAAACAGACCATGTGGCTTCCATTAAAAATCATTAGTAATCAATAAACATCAATTCTTAAGTGCAGTCTGATGCTCTTTTTGTTGATTTTCTGTATAGGTAGTGTTTCAACTATGGTATGCCGTTGGGGAGTTTCTTTTCTGGTCTTGTTTATTTGATGTTCTGTATGTTTGTATCTTTGCATAGTTGGAGGAAGTTTTCATATATGATCTTGGTGAAGATATGCTCTATGCCATTGATCTGGGATTCCTCTCCCTTATCAAAGATTTGCTCTGCTCATGGTGCTCCAAAGTTCTGCATATTCATAGGAAACTATAGATTTTTTTTCCTATTCTTTGCTTGTGTTGTTTAATTCCTCTATTTTGCCTTTGAGACCTGGTATTAGAAAAGAAATACTCTGCAAATGAAAAGATTAGCAATTAATAAAAACATCCTCATAAATTATTAACACATCCCAATGTTAGTTATTAAACAACTAAGAAAATTGATGCAACTTTGATGAAACTAGTCGTAAAAGGATGCTCAAATGGAGTATCATGAATGAAAAAATGTGTTGTAGATCCAACATGAATCAGAAAAACATATTAGGAATAACTTTTCCCCATGACATTTAAACGTTATATAATTTTTTGGAAATGTTTCTTAAGAGCAGACTGCTTCAAGAAGATCAAGTTGTTAATTAACACATAGCCATTTATTTGTAGCCACAATCCTTTATTGACTCTCCACTCATCAGTAAAAATACTGTGCAAAAATTGTGTAATTTTTAACCACTGTTTGTTTATTGGCGAGGGAGGGATCTAATATTGCTGTTTAGCTAAATTGGCATAGCAACAAATTACGTTCTAAATTCCTGTGCTTATTCACAGACAAAAGATATTCTCAGCCTTAATCAGAGAAGCTTCTTGCAACACCCCTGAAGGATCAATAAACATGGTAGAAAAGGGAGAAGAAAGAATGTAAGACCCAGGAGATAGGAGAAGGACTGGCCATCATGAAGTCATCCAGCTGTTCCTACTGATACTGGTACAAATTGAGTCCTCCTAACAGTAGCTGTGGATGGTGAAGGGACTCACAAGGCCCTGCCACTTGCAGCTGTGGATCTGTTGTCAACAATTCTCTGTAAAAGGTAGAGAAATAGAACCCAGTTTTGTACCTACTCATGAGTCCACCAACCTCTGATGATTAATTCTAAACACTGGGTCACACAGATGGCCCTAACCTTTATGGATTATGAAACAAAATAAAAGCGATGAGTGTAAGAAAGAAATTAGTAAAGAAAAAGGGACTATCAGGAGTGAGGGGAAATAAAAAAAGGTTAGGAAGACCAGAATTCATTATAAATATGTGTGAAATTGTCAAAGAATAAAGTTTATTTAGTAGAAAAGACTAAGCTTAACACTAATGATTGTGGAAGAGATTTGAAATCTGTGATACTTCCCAGTCTTCAAGAATCCAATCATGGGCACACGTAGAGAAAGTACACAGGAAAGCTAAGATAATGGCCTATTCATTAGATAATCACCTTGGGGAGTCAAGTGAGAAACATGCTTTATAAGCACGTAATATTTTGCCATGAGCCGTACTCTAGAATATTTTGCTTTACCTTGTGCTGGCTGTTTTTTACTCTCCCTGAGTTGTTTTTAAAATGTGCTCCATAGAGTAACTTGTCTTTATGAGGACTTTTAACAAATAATTTGCTGTGTGAACTGCTTACTACTCTAGCTAACTAATGACTAAGTCCTTAAGCCTCCACAGATGGATGGTACTTGGCCAGTGGAGCTGCTGCCTGCGTGTAGGAATTTATTAATTGATGCATTTATCTCAGTGGGTTCCCTCATTAAACTTGCAGCTGTTCTGTCAATGGAAGAACTTTGTCAAATTTTTAGTATTTTTACTAGAATTTTCCAAAGTACAATCCAGCCTAAGAGTATTAACAGATTTCAGCATAGAACAAAGCATCATGGATTCAAATCTCGTGGGAGGAAACGCCTTTAACTCGTACTAAGGCAGTTAGAATTGAACGTGCTGACTTGTAGAAGAGCAGAGAATGCCACAAGTTCCCCCCTTACTTATACCACACCGCTTTCCATTTGGCTAGCATGGGATTCTGTATACCCCAGTTCATCTGACTGAACTAACAGTGCTCACGTACTCAGAGTTGGCTGCCCTTTCCAGAAAAAAAAAACAAAAAAACAAAAAAACCTTTAGACTTATAATATTGCTGTTTCACTTAGAAAGAGTTGATTATTTCTTGCTCTTCATCACTTTTGGTGTAGGAGGTCCTTTTGTATTTGTGTTGCTTTCATTGGTTAATAAAGAAACTGCCTTGGTCTTTTGATAGGGAAGAGCTTAGATAGGCGTGAAAAAGAGAATTCTGGGAGGAAGAACTCAGGGTGGCAGTCGCCATGAAGCTCTTGCCTGAGACAGATGCTGGTTAGCATCTTTCCCGGTAAGTCATGACCTCATGGTGACATACAGATTATTAGAAATAGGGTGAATCAAGAAGTGAGAGTTAACCAATAAGAGACTAGAGCTTATGGGCCAAACAATAATTTAATTAATACAATTTCTGTGTGGTTATTTCGAGGGTTAAGCTAGTTGGGCGGCCAGGAGCCAGGCTGGGGGATGTGGCCCACTTCTCCTGCTACAACTTTTCCATGTGATTTCTGCTTCTTGTTGTTCTAGAGCTTTCAGGTGGGCTGTTAAGTTGCTACTGTGAGATTTATCTCTCTGTCCCCCCCCCCTCTCTCTCAGCACTTAGTGCTATGAGCTTGCCTCTTTAAACTGCCTTCATTGTGTTCCATAAATTTGAGTATTGTGTGCATTCATTTTCATTCAATTCTTGAAAGCCTTTAATGTATTTCTTAATTTCTATCTTGACCTATTTTTCATTCAGTAGAGAGTTGTTCAGTTTCCATGAGTTTTGTTTCTGTTGTTGATATCTAGCTTTTAACCCATGGTTGTCTAATAGAATGCCGAGTTATTTCCATTTTCTTATGTCTGTTTGTATTTGTTTTGTACCCAACTTTTTGGTCAGTTTTGGATGGTTCCATGAGGTGCAAAAAAAGAAGTTGCATTCTTTTGCTTTTGGGTGGAATGTTCTGTAAATATGTTAGGTCTATTTCGTTTGTAACATCTGTTAACACCAGCATTTCTCTGTTTAGATTTCATTGGATGGTCTGGCCATTGCTGAGAGTGGAGTATTAAAGTCTCCCACTATCAGTGTGCAAGGGTCAATATGTGATTTAGCTGTAGTAGCGTTTCTTTTGCACATTTCAATACCCTTGTGTTTTGGGCAATGATGTTAAGAATTGAAATGACATCTTTATAGGTTTTCCTTTTGATGAGTATGTAGTGTCCTTCCCTATCTCTTATTAGTTTTAATTTGAAATCTATTTAGTTAGATATTTAAATGACTACACCGGTTTGCTTCTTTGGTCCATTTGCTGGGGATATCTTTTCCCAACACTTAACCCTGAGGTAATGTCTATCCTTGATGATGAAGTGTGTTTCCTGAATGCAGCAGAATGGATTCTGTTTTCACATCTATTCTGTTTGTCTGTGTCTTTTTATTGATAAAATGAAATTGTTAATGTTAAGAGATATCAATGAACAATGATGTTGATTCCTGATATGGGGGTGGTGGTAAGGTGCTGTTGCATTCCTGTTATGGTAGTGGTGCTGGTAGTAGTGGTAGTGTTTGCGTGTATGCACACACGTGCAAATGTATCTCCCTTCTTGATTTTACTGTTCTGAGACTACTTATTCTATGTATTTTCATGTTTGTACTTAACATCCTTGGTTATCATTTTCCTTCTAGCACCTTTTTTTAGGGCTAGATTTGTAGATGAATATTGCTTAAATTTGACTTTATCATGGAATGCCCTCTTTGGTTCTGTGGTTCTTCATAAAGAACCAACGTTTCTTTTTTTATTGTAGGACCATTTTAGTTAATGAATCCTTTCATTGACAACTCCGGGCCTATTTTTCTGGTGTATCAATGGGCACTATAAGTAGTCATTTTGTTCCCTGTGTCAGGGAGTTTTCCCTTGTCTCAGCATTTCAACCTATTCTGGGCATGGAGCATGGCATGGTGTGTTTCTTTCTGTGACTAGTTCAAACTGACATTTGGGGCCTTGTCATCAGGGCCCAAGAAGGCTGAAAGGCTAGCCAAAGATGAGGGAATTCAGACAATGGGGCACTCCTCAGAAGCATCAGCTTTGCAGACTCTGTTGGAAAGAAGGGAACATTCACATCAGCTGGACTGATGTATATTAGCTTTTAGCAAGTCCAGGGCTTGCAGTCATTCAGAACAAGTTGTGGTCAGCACTGATGCTTAGACATGTCTGCCAGTCAAGTGGAAACCTATTGAGATAAGTTTAAACTAAGAACAGAAGTCAAAAATTTATGTACTTAAAGGGAAATAATACATTTGAAACTTTCAGTTCCATATTGAAATCCATATTATAGATAAAAGCAGATAATGCATCTCTGTAAACAGCAGGCATGGACTCATACCTTTGAGTCCTAGCAAAAACTAAAGATTTTGGTTAGAAGCATGTATAATTTTCTTCCGTCCAGAGAGCCAGGTATGGATTGGACAGAGATGTCTTTGGCCTGATGAGAAACACCTTTAGTTCATATTTACATGGCAACCAGAATAAATCTAAAATCTTGATCTTGTGAACCACCAAACAGAATGTCATCATGGCTCTATCGGCTTATCAGAACTATACCATATAAGGGGGAAGAATTCAGAAACATTTTCCATATTTAACCTATATTTACATCTTAAATCATTTTTAGACCCTCAAAGCTTATGAGCTTTTATTTACTCAGACCTTTATATATCTTAAAACATTTTTTAATCAAGAGACTAGTAGCTTTAGAAAAAGCAAATATCTATAACGTGAGTTAACAAGCTGGCTTTAGCTTTGTGGAAGGGTCTGGATACCTGATGCTGCTAAACTGACAACATTATGGCTGGCCTAGCCACTAATATTATCAGAGATCCCAGAAGATAAGTAAATTATACCTGAGTACAGACCAAGAAGCTTCTGAATCTATTAAAAGTGACAGGGACCAGAGTCCAGTTAGCCATACCCCAGGTCTCCATAGCATTGGAGGCAGAAGTATCCAGAACAGCAGTCTTACAGTCTTAGCCAGGCCCATAAGGTGATTTTTTTTTTCCTGTGGACATGGAAAAGACTGACCCTATTTTGTCTAGGCAAAAGTGGTGCAATCAATTGTCCAATATTCTGCTGTTTGTCCACAGTCTGGACTGGGTCCTGGCGGCAGGTGTTGTACTGGGGCATCTCGCCCAGTGGTCAGTGTCATCGTACTCCAGGGGGGATATCATCGTGTCCCATAATCTTCTTCGGAGGCCTTGGATCACTGCTAGGATCTCAGAGTCTCTGTCTAATATAAACTTTTCAATCATTATTTTAAATGCCATATTCTGCAGATCTCTGAAGTATGAGAGTTGCCTAGGTATATATGATTGGACAAACTTTCTTTCTAGTTACTTGTTTTAAGTTTGACTTTGAAAACATATACAGAGACCTAAATAAAGATTATCCTAATAATTAATTATATCAGTACTTTAAGGATGACTGACTAACTTGTATTTCCTAACAGTCTATAATAAGTTCACAGCTTTTATAAGACTAGAACTTCACATTCTGTCAGGTTTAGCCTTAAAAAAAAATAATGATTTTGAATTGAAGCTAATAAAGAGTCACTCTGAGGGTAAAAACAGAACAAGTTTGTATCCAGCTGTTAATGCTGTCTCCTGGGAAGGAAAGGAAAAGGTTCCAGGGTGAAATGGGAACAGGAAGGAGCCTAGGGGCTAGTATTGCCTTTGACAAGTTCTAAGGCACTATAGCCAGTCTGTTAGGGGAGGGCCACAAGTTCCTTTTGCCAGAGATAAGGAGGGCGACACCCTTTTTAGGAGTAGGAACCTGAGGGAATGGAAGCTTTATCTGAATGTCTGGCATAGGAGCAATAGAAAACAACAAACTTTTAATTGAAGTTTCTCTTAGTATCAGTACAAAAAAATTTATATGACTCAGTTCATCCAAAAAGTTTAAGCTTAACAGAATTAACAAAGACAAGGAGGCTAGACGTACATCCTTATTTCTAAAGAGACCTTGAGTAAAGACAGACATTTTGAAGCCACTGATTCTCAACTTTTTTTCCTTTATTTATTTATTTATTTATTTATTTATTTATTTATTTATTATGTATACAATATTCTTTCTGCGTGTATGCCTGAAGGCCAGAAGAGGGCACCAGACCTCATTACAGATGGTTGTGAGCTACCATATGGTTGCTGGAAATAGAACTCAGGACCTTTGGAAGAGCAGGCAATGCTCTTAACCACTGAGCCATCCCTCCAGCCCTTTCTCAACTTTTTAATGTTATTTACAACTGCAGTTTTGTCATTTTTATGAATCTTAATGCAAACATATGACATGAAGGTGATCCTAGGATACCCCTCTAAAAAGTTTTTTTTTTTTTTTAACCACCAAAGGATCAAGACTTAATGGGCTGAGAAACTGTTTCAGTCCTTTGACCTCCTTCAAAGATTCCTTTCCCCAGCTCATCCCATCATCCTAGACTCCGTTCCCAGAAGGCATTTCTGGGAGAATGCCAGTTGAACCAGCCAGGGAAACAGGCATGCTAACTCAAGAGAATCACCCTTCTTCCTCTCCTCCAAACCTAACTGTAATAGTTGAAGTAAAATGCTGCATGTCCCTGAGTGACAGCAGTGGGCAGCGAGTGATGAACCACACCGCAGGTCCTTAAGCCATGGCAAGCAGGTCCCAGACAGGAAGCCATGTGGCAGGTGAGAGACCAAGAAGGAGACCATGCAGAGTGAAGTTGGATTGAAGGTCTATAAAAAGTTATAGAGGGTCAGAAGGGGAAGCAAACTATATTTGCTGTGCTTTCTCATACCTGCAAATACTGAACATGCTTGTTTTGTTGAAAAGTTTGTCTTTATAAGTTTCCTGGCAAGCATGGAGCTGAGACAAAATGGTTTGGGTATTTTTGCTGTCTCTGCCACCCATGACTACTGTGGCCATTTTTATGGGCCTGACCTCAGAATTTATGACTGAGCTCTGGTTACTGGATTTGGGCTAACAGAAATTCAGATGACTTTTTGGTATGGATATTGTTCAAACTGTTTTATGCTGTTCTTTATTGAAAAGCTGGCTCTAAGAGTTGGATTATGACTCTTCCTTCACTCGACCCGTGCTTACTTAAGTTTCCTCTGTCAGTCTGTCGGTCTGAGCTGGTAAGCCTCTCTGTAGATGCAATAATCCAAACCAAACCAGATCAGACCAAATTAGAAAAGGCCCAGGTTTAATGGATGCCAGTCCCCCCCCGGGGGGGGGACGGAGAGGGAGAAAAGGAGAACCATCAAGACTACCAGAGAGGAAAAGATGA